GGGGGGGGGGGGGGGGGGGGGGAGGGAGATCAAGATAAAATAACTGAACAGGCTATTGGGCAAGATAATAATTATTGTTTACGCTTCTCTTCCGATTGTAATTAAAAGCATTTGTTACTCCTTGGTTGCTGAGCAGTTTCCATAACATTTCAATTCTGGCTGGATTTCACAAGCAAATTAAAAGATCTACGTCTAGTCCTTTGAGTTTTCAGTCACTTGGATTATCAATTGAGGCAACTGATAGGCTGGCTCAACATATGCTTACCACACTTGTGTATGGCACGGCAACCACATCCAAAGACGTGTTTTGGCGTGCTGCACTCCAGTTTCTAGATACTGGAATTTCAATCACGAAGTAATGTCATCCTTAAAAACAAGATGTGACACGATTGCTTTAAGACCGTAATCGTGTCTCTTCCTGTTGCACTTCTAAGCACCTGAATTTTGATCACATGACCATGAGTTTTTCACACTTTTCATAAGTGTGAAAAATGGTCATGTCCAGTATAACTTTAAATGGTCACTATACGAATTGTTTGTAAGTTGAGGACTACCTTTGTTTTTTGTGAAGGGAAGTCTCGTCTCTAGCCATCCGCTGCTTTCACATTGCTTTCCAAATCCTGATTTGGGGCTCATCTTTATGAATATGTGGTACTCCTCCTTTCCATGCTTTCCATACTGATCCTTTTTTAATTGCCATCTCTTTCCTTTAAGAAAGAAGATTCTTTGAGTGCCTCTTAAATTAACGCGGTGAATATGCTATTAACTTAAAAACCACCGAATTAGTTCTTTTGTATTTATACTGCCTGCAGGCTATACACATTTCCCTTTAGCTGCACAGTTTAAAAATATTAATCATTTTAGCTAAATGCAAGCTCCATAATCCAAAGGATTCTATCACGGAAACATTCTCACCGTTCTCATTTACATCGATCTAGTGCTGAGAGAAAAAAAGTTAGATTAGATGGAGTTGGTTTGTTTTGATGATCCTCAGAGCCGCCTTTGAACATTGCTTTCCTAACACTTGCGGTATGATTTCTTGTAAAACAAAGAAAACAAAAATGTTCAGTGTGTGTTCTAAAATAGTCAATATAATGTACAGACATGCCCTGAATTCCCTTTAAAGCTTAGTGCAGTGTTTCTCAACCTTGTCAACTTGAAGATGTCTGGACTTCAACTCCCAGAATTCCCCAGCCAGCATTCGCATTCCGGTGTGATTTGAACCGCCGAACTGCAGCTTAGCAGTCAGCTGAAGTGGCTGCAGTACTGCACTCTAACCACTGCGCCACCTCGGCTCCGTTGCAACTTCAAACCGTCACTGACTGTCCTCAGCTGAGGACTATTTTATGCCTCACAAGGTGATTTTTTATGGAGAACAACAGGAAATGTTATGTGCAATGCTACGGGCTAAAAATATATACCGTAAATAAGAATAGAGAAGCTGAAATAGTACAATGAAGTTCTCTTTTATTTAATTTCATGTTTGCTTACTTAAGGACAATTTTGTGGTACTTCCTCATTTATTGGAGTAAATTAATCACATATTTTTTTCAAATTCTTTTTTAATTGCCAAAATTCCAAAACCAAAGAGAAAGAACACGCGCAATTATAAAAGGAAGAAAACAGAAAAGTTAAAAAAAGGATTTTTTTAACACTTCACATTTCACTTTCAAAATTGAAATTCTCCATGAAGGGATTCCCCTGGCTATTAAGGAACAGAAAAGAAAAGAAAACTGTAGCATTTATATATATATAGATTCACTTCCTGTTTATTTTGTCCTGTTAACAAGACCTAAAATGGACAGGATTTTATGAGGCTTGTGTATATTTTCATATATTCTTATTACACTTTATTTCAGTAATAGCTATAGTTCATGAAAGGTATTACTGAGCTGGTTTTGAAATAATATTTAGACGTAGATTGAAAAAATGCATATGAGTGAGCAGAGTGAGGTGCCTTCAATAGAAGTATTTATGTTGATTTTTATCACACTTTTATTATCTTTTTATAAACAATTCAAGATGGTCAACATACTTAGTTCCCAAAGTCTGTAGAGGTTCTCAATCATCCTGGTCATGGTTGTCCCAAAGGTGCTTTTTCAGGCGACAAATGGACTTTCTTGGGGTTTTTTTGAAGACATTTCACTTCTCATCCAAGAAGCTTCCTCATATCTGACCGTGGCACGACATAACCGCGAATGTCAAAAGCGCGCCGACAAAACCGCGGCGCTAAAACCGCGATGTCAAAAGCGCGCCGACAGAAGCGCAAGTTAAGGTAAGGTTTAGGGTTATTTTTAGGGTTATGTTACAGCGCGCTTCTGTCGGCGCGCTTTTGACATCGCGGTTTTAGCGCCGCGGTTTTGTCGGCGCGCTTTTGACATTCGCGGTTATGTCGTGCCACGGTCAGATATGAGGAAGCTTCTTGG